TACAGCACAAGACGTAACATTAAATATTACTAAGTCCAGATTATTATTTAGTAAATAAAATGTCTTTATTGTCAATCGGTAAAAAGAAAAGAAAAAAAAAACAAAGATCAAAATATGAGAAAGTGAGCTCTAAATAGAGCTTATGTAATGCTAACAGTATAACCATAACGCCCTAATAGCGGCCTAATTGGTCGCCCTGATGGGGTCTCGAGCACCTTATTCAAGGGTATATAGTAAAGTAGTACGGTACGGAAACGCAAATTAGGACGGACGTGTAGAAATCAAGAATAGTACGTACGGTTTGTAAAAGAAAAACCCCATGTTGCTTTTATTATTAACCCAACATGGAAAAAGGACAATACTAGCGTTCACCCTAACCCTAACCATTAAAAATACAAGTCTGTATTAGCCGTACTATCTAAATTTAGTATAATTTTCGTATGTCCGTCCGAATTTGTACTAGCGTACAGTACTACTTTACCTATTCAAGGGAGGAAAAAACTTTAATTAAATGAAAACTGAAAACCGATAACGATTATTTTTAAGAAAAAGGGGCAGGTCATCTTTTTTTTCAGAATTGACCTGATTGGTTTTTATATAACATTGAAGGAGGATCCAAAACCTAACTTTATTTGTATGGAGTTTTTTTCATATTACAGTATTCGAGGATTCTAAGCATGATATTGGTGTACAATGCATGGACATAACTATGTAAAACACACTTTAAATAATATAAAGCAAAAAAATAGATCGATATACTGCATATACAGTATATTGGTAATTTATTAAAAGTTTATACGTACAAATTACCGTTACACGGATTTATGATTAATTATTTAGATATAGACAAGGAGTCTTTATTCTTTGTAAAGCTACATACCTATGCATAAATTCGATTCGCGCATTATGGCAATTTTTATACACCATTCATACTTAAAAAAAAATTTGGTGTATTTATTTAATTCACATTCAATTTATTTTGTTTATATGCATGAAGACAATGACTTTCTTGTAGTACTGAAACTCTTAACACCCATGCGTTTATCAGAGGAGTTTATCTAATGATAATAACAGGGGTTATATAGTTACTGTATATTACTAGTTCTAGCATATATGAATCTAAAATTAATCTAGTTACATTAAATTAATATCGAAAATATGAAAGTTATACATAGCATTTATTTCAACTCATTGCTGACGTACTAAAGCTAATATTTATTTTATTTTTTAAAAGAGGCGTGAATGTACAGGGATTTATAAATGCACAAAGTTTTATATTTGGTCGAATTTTCCACGTTATAAATAACGATCCACGCATCTGATCTATAAAGTCCCACGTGCAGAAAATCGTGTAACTTACTGATTTACGTTTTTTCAGTTTTTATCATAGGCGATACCCCATTTCGAAGAGTTCAAATTTTTATTTATTTTTTATGGTATCTAAATAAGTCAGATAAGGCGGAACAAAAGGCAGATTTAGCATACAGGGTAAATAGATAAAAACACGTAAGTTAATTAAAAAAGGTCATTTTAATGGGGCTATCAGTACAATATTAAAATGGGGATATGCCTAAAAATAAGTCGTATATTATTCAATAAGACAACAAAAAATTTTCAAAAATATTTTCATATTTTGCAAAGAAAAAAATATACATTTTTTATCTATTAATTAATGTCGCGACTGATGCTGAAATTGGCTGATGGGCCTCGATTTGAAATATAAGCCCTGCCAGAATCCACATATACTCTTTAATTATCAATTTTATTCCTAAATCCTAACCCAACCCTAAAAAAAAAGGCGGGAAAAAACATCCCAAAAAATTATAAAAATTCATAACAAAATAGGTCCAAATTTCAGCATCAGCCACGACAATTAATTAATTTTTTATCTATTAATTAATTAATTTATTTATTTATTATCTTTTTTTTAAATTAAATTTTGATCTAAAAGTGGATATATTGTTTATGTTCAGACCGATTATTCATGTTTCCTTTTTTAATCGATGATATGTTTATTTTCTTTATTCTCTTTATTCTCTTTGTTTTCCCAATTGCTTTCATTGTTCTTATATTATTTATTTTCATTTCAGCGCAGTTTAAAATTATTAAATACATTCGGAAAATAAAGCCTTTTTTTTTTTTTTACTATGAACTTGTGTTATAAAAATGCAAATACTCTTTGTTTTGGTTTTCTTTCACTTCTCTGGTCATGTCGGATGAAATCATGATGTCGTTCCCACCAGAAATAAATGTTCAAGAATTTTTGGCAAATACAATTGAGTACAAACAACCGCTCAATTCTTATATGATTTATAGAAAAGTCTATGCCAGAACATTGAAAGCGAAAGGAATAAAATTATCTTTATCTCATGTCTCAAAACTTTCAAGCAAGTCGTGGGAAAATGAGTCTCTGGAAGTTAAACAATGGTACAAAAAGTTTTCAGAAAAAGTAAGTGAACGATACAGAAGAACACATTGGAGATATAGAAATGTCAATCCAGGACCTAGGAGAAGTGATGAAGACCGCAGGACATTGACTTTTGTTTTCGAAAATCCTGGAGAGAACATGAACGCTACTCCTAATAATATCATGAATTCAAACGATTTGAGTATGTGTCCTTTAGTAGTATCACATGATATATTTAATGATAGTTCGTCAGTAATGACTAAATTTCCCTATACTATTCAAGATAATTCCAACAAATTGTTGGATTTTAAGACTTAAGTCTGTAATTTATTATACTTTAATTTTAATTTCAATATCTTTTTTTAAAAACAATACCCCTTTTTATAACTATAGGTTCTTTTATGAATTTAAGTTAAACAATTATATTTGTGATTTCATTTTCTTAGAGAAAAGTATTATATTATATACTATTATCATATATATCCTAAGTTCATATTTTCTTAAAAATTATATGCATATTATCGTATATTTTTCGAGTTTATTTTCTTAACGCGTTTTTATCGTTTTTATCATCTAAATTTAGAAATGATCGATTCTTTTTACCTAAAATGTAATATTTATATATTATCGCTATCGTTATTGTTACCATTTTATTATTTTTTTCAAATCATATTTCAAATCGTTATATTGGAAATATTTTAAATAGGAAATTTATTAGTTTACACATAGTGTTTATAGACGGACACTAATTTATTGATTTACAAATTCGTGTGATATATAAATTAGTTTAAGGTTAGGGTAAGGACAGCTTTAGGGGTAGAAATAAAATTTTGCAAATAATATTTTTGTTAGAATTCCAAAAGTCGGTTTATAATCAGGATTTTGAGATATTAATATACCCGTATACATACACATAGTGTACGAATAGAAATTGCTTTTTAAATATTTCCTGTTTCTGATGGTCTTTTATTCGTAAATAAAACATCTTGATTAGATTCAATTATATAATCAATTATATTATCACTATGTAGTGGTACACGTAGTAGTATCATAGTGTTCTCTAGTTTCTTCTAAATTATCTTGATTAGAATGAATTATATTATTACTAGTATTAGTATTATACCGTTCATCAGTTTCTCCTAAATTATCTTGATTAGAATTAATTACACTATTACTAGTGTTGGTGTCTTGGTGTTCTAAATTATCTTGATCAGAATTAATTACATGATTACTAGTATTAGTGTCTTGGTATTCATTAGTTCCTTTCAAATTATCTTGAACATTATCTCTGGTATTAGTATCTTGATGTTTATCAGTTTCTTCTGAATTATCTTGACTAGAATTAATTACATTATTTATAGTATTAATGTCTTGATATTTATCAGTTCCTGCTAAATTATCTTGATTAGAATCAATTATATTATTACTGGTATTAGTGTCTTGTTGTTCATCAGTTC